TTAATGCAAGAAAGACAGTGGTGAGCCAGCCAGCTTGGATGCTTCTGGCGAGTGACATATATAGATCTGAGCATGAGGTCGACTTTGGGCCCAAAAAGCCAACTGGGGAGGGAAACAGAAATAACGAAGAAGTCAGGTCTCGGCGCGTTGCTGTCCTTTGTCCTGAAGGTGGTTGGAGAGACAGGACTGGGAGAGGCGGAGAGTGTGCGCGATAGGCACCTTCCTGGAGCAGTCCTGGGATGCTCTGAGTGCTGGCTTTATTGGGTCATGCAGAGGGGCCAGATCCCTGGAAAACAAGTCACACAGAACCCATGAGAGGCCAAGTATGGGCATTACTTTGTTATGTGGGGGGCCTGGACCGGTGATGAGGGAAGGTGTGCTTGGCGAGTGGAAGTCAGACAGACCATGGGGCGTTCAGAGAAGAGAACCAGCTGGGAGACCGAGGTCGGAGTGGTGCGGAGAAGCAGGAAAGAAAGGAAGACGGAGGGTGTCAGAGCCTGGGGGCAGGTGGAGTGAGCAGTGAATGGAGGTGACACTTGGTATCTGCGCTTCAGCTTTCCTGATGGGTTTCATTCCTGGGTACATGTGGACAAGCACTGGTGACTCATCCAGCTTCACCTTTCCTAAATCCCTTATTAGTCGACAGAAGTTTTGTTGGCTGCAAATAGCTTCTTGTCCACTCGATGGCCTGGCCTTAATAGGTGTTTAAGTAAAGGCTGACCCACAGGATCTTAAACTTTGCAGCTGGACAGTGTTCCTTCCTCTGGCTGGTTATTAAGATTTCAGAAGCTTGTCCATTCCGGAGCAAACTGGTGTAGCTTTAGGTGGGTGGTTTCCATGGAAACTAATCCCATCGATTTTTTAATCATTTCTCTCGGTGCTAATGTCAGCAAGTGACTAGTTCTCTGGCCAGTCACTTGTGCACTTGTTTTTCTTATTGCTGATGCACTGACTTGCGACATTGCCAGTTTGCTTTCTAAGCATTTTATAATTGCCGTTTAGATTTTTTTTCTTTTATGCTAGAGTTACTTAGGATACTGCTTTATAAAATTTTTAAGCGATTGGATTTTAAAAATAAATATTTTATTAGGCTTGGAAAATGAATCTGTACAGTTTCTCCTTTGGCAAGTTTCTTATTAAAATTTCCTTTGGAGTCCAATGCAGACCACATCTTTGGACACCAAAAAAAGGTGTAAGGATTTCCGGACCCGGATTATAATGTAAATTAGTTAAATCCGCGTTACTAATTGTGTGCTTCAGGCCTTTATGTTCCTGTTTACTGTGCCCTCCCTCCCCTTAGAAGCACTGACTGAATATATTAACCACTCACTGCTCTACCTTTCAGTTATTCCTGTTTTCTCACGTCTGTTTGGATGCAGTGCTCTCTGTTAACCATGCAGCTTGTTAAAGGTTCATGCCTTTATTTTTTTTTAATTAAAAAAATCTTTATTGATGTCAGAGAGAGGAAGGGAGAGAGAGAGAAACATCAATGATGAGAGTCATTGATCCTCAGCCTCCTGCTCGCCCCCTGCTGGGGATCGAGGAGCCTGCAGCCCTGCATGTGCCCTGACCTGGAATCGAACCTTGATCTCCTGGATCCTAGGTTGATGCTCAACCGCTGAGCCACGCGGGCCGGACAAGGCTCATGCCTTTATGAATTGGACTTCCCCACAAAAAAATTCCTATTCCTTCTGTCTCTGTCATGTTTTACACCTGAACTGCACTTTTTCTGGTATTGAGATAGCAATCCCTGCTTTCCCTTTAACTTTGCCCAACCTTAACTTGAGCATCTTAGCAGCTCTTTTGAAAATGCTCACGATTCCCCGGCTCCTGAGAGTGCTGCTGTACTGCCGTTAGTGTAAGCCGTCTGTCTCCTCATCTTTTCATGGGGATTGTGGTAACAGTGTCTGCTGCATGGGCTGTTGGCAGAATTAAATAAGATCACGCACGTCAGATGCTTAGCGCTGTCTTATTGTTAGTATTATGATGAATCCCAAAGCAGTAGACATCACAGACATCCCAGTTTTTTAAGTTAAGTTTCCCCGTGCTGCACTTGACACCAGAGGTTGCCTTGTCATCTAATGAAGTTTTAATTTAAGCAGAAAATATACAGCTGTTTGTTAAGGTTATTTATGAGCATCCTTGTGCTGAGAAGGGAACTGCTATAGATTGAATGTCTGTGTCCCCACCCCCAATTCCTAGGTTGAAACCCTAACCTCCAATGTGAGGGTATTAGTAGATGGGGCCCTTAGGGGTGATCAGGTCCTGAGAGTGAAGCCCTTATAAGTAGGGTTAGTGCCCTTACAAAGGACACCCAGAGAGAGCTCACCAAGCGAGGACACAGCCAGGAGACAGCTGTCCATGAGCCAGGAAGCAGATCCATACACACACTGGCCTCAGAACTGGGAGAAATAAATATTTGTTGTTTGGAAGCCACCCAGTCTATGGTGTCCTGTTCCAGCAGCCAACAGACCAAGACAGGCATGGGAGTAGATTTTCCTCTCAGACTGTAGGAATCCGAGCCACCAGTTAGTTCCCTGCCCTGACGATGTCCTGGCATCGTGGTGGAAAGCACGCCGGGTGGCCAGCCGCCTGCCTCCGCAGCCCCAGCCCTGGCAGTGAGTGGTCAGACGAGTGACTCACCTTCACCTCCACACCCTCCTCATAGGTCTGTCCTGAAGTTGAACCGAGTGGTTGGTGCCTGGCAGGTGCTAGGTGAAGGTGAGATGTTCATAGCTCATCCCCTCCGCTCCCCCTCTCAGCACTTGTCCAGACCCCTGCAGCCTCATCTACAGATTAATCTTAATGAATTCAGTGAAGTCCAAGAACCATTTTCAGAGCCTGCTGTGCCCGGGGTGCTGTGCCATTGCTTGTACATAGCTTGGTGTTTGTCTTGGAGACAGACGTATAGAAATGAGCATTGTAGGGCAGTGCCAGTCATGATTTACTACCAACCTAATGTGATAAAACAATAGTTACAAAGCAGTGTAGCAGATATAACGTGAACATAGCTAAGGGGTGGAAAGGAAGAGACCCAGAGAGAGGGCAGCTGCTTCCCTTTGGAGAGCGAGCCGGGAGAGGACGGCTTGGGGGGGTGCTCATGGGGTCACAGGCAGGGACAGAGAGGTTTTCCAGGCTCGTCCCTGGCCTTCCACTGTGGAGCATCTCCCATGTTGTTTTCTCCCTGGACAGATGTCCCCCATCTTCCAAGGTCGAGCTCAAGTCCCACACGCCACTCTGACTCATTTCTCTTCCCTGAACTTGTTTAGACCCACACGCCTGAGCTCTGACCATGCCGACAGCCTCGGTCTCCTTCAGAGCAGACCCCTGCTAATTCTCCGCATGCCCCCCTCCCCTCCCAGGGCCATGCCCTGCTTGCTGATGCCACGTAGGTGCTTGTGACGGATGAGCTGCTCCCTGGAAGGATTAGATAATCAGTATGGGCCCTATCACCCTGGCTGTGAGAGCCCAATCCCCCCCCCCATCCCCATTAGTCTTTGAGAGTGAGAAGAAATCCGAGTGATCTGTCTTTTCAGAGCCCACAGTACATGTTCCTTGTACATGGTCCTTGGATTCAGGCACAGAAGGGATCTGGCTCATGACTACAGAAAGGCCAGGAGACGGGAAGCAGAGGGGTGTAGGAACCTGGCAAATACACCCTCATTGCCGAAATGTCAGACCCACTGGAGTCAGGCCCATTAATCTTGTTTTATTGCGAGATTCAAAGTCGCCACGCTGTGGCAGCCACAGAATTGATGGATGGGCTTCCCCGCGCTTGCCCAGCACCTTGCTGCCTGGGAAACCAGCTCTGGGAAGAACAGGGAGAGGAAATTAAAACCGCCTGCCTTTCGAGGTTTCTCAGTGTCTGCTTGCAGAGGAGACGGGGCAGGCATTCACAGCGTCTGGCAGCTAAGTTGCTAACGCTTGGTGTTTACTGCCTGTTTTATAAGCAAATCAAAGAGGCACAGTGCTGAGACCCTCCCGATAAATCTTGAGCAGCGTCTGGCTCCAGTGAGGGGCCTGTTGCTTTGGGCCACCAGGCTGCGATCTTGTTTGATGTCTTGTTGATGAGGCAGGTGAGAGATGGCAACGCCTGGCAGTTCTAAGCTCAGTTCTTTGATCACTGGGGGCCCAAACCTTTTGTCACATGTCAGTCTCTGGTCAGAGTTCCTCTTGTATTTTTAATTTTTTTAAAATATGTTTTTATTGATTTTTAGAGAGAGAAGAAGGTAGAGGGAGAGAGACACACACACATGATGAGAGAGAAACATCATCAATTGGCTGCCTCCTGCACGCCCCCTACTGGGGATCGAGTCCCAAACCCAGGCACGTGCCCCGAACAGCAATCGAGCCATGACCTGCTGGATCCTAGGTCCTGGCCAGCGTGCCTCGACCTCTGAGCCACACCAGCTGGGCTAATTGCCCCTTTGAGTAACTTCCTGCAGAAGCCAACAGGAACCCTCCACTTATCAGCCACATTTCATCTATCTCATCATTGACAGATACGGTTGGAGTTTTTAAAACAACCATAATATTTGCTAATTAGTTTCTAATTTAAAAAATGCACGCTTGTCATAGATGTCACCTAGAACTTAGCCGAGAAGGCTGAGATTTGGAGAAAATTAGCTCAAGCCTCTTATGTGGGTGGGATTTCCAGTGCCCATCTCCAGATCGCTGGGAATTCCCAGGGGCATCGATGCTCAGTCACATCGGGCTCTCGTTTCCCCCTTTGGCTGCACTTTTGCTTTCATGTTACACACTCAGCAGAAGGGCTGAAATCGACAACAGACAGTTCCAACTGTGGAGCACCTGGAACTCCCATACATACCGCTCAGGGACAGGCAGGCTTCTGGATGCCTGAAGGTCCTGGTTTTTGATGTGGGTTCTGATTATGTGGATGTGTTCGAAGTGCAGGAAGCCATCAAGCCAGACACTTGGGATTGGTGCATAAAACTGGACACTGAGAACTTACGCATAGGATAAAATCTCACCACAAGATGTGATTTTTCCATTTATTTTTTATTATATTGGGAGACAGATTTTACAGGATAGCTTCAAACCAGCTGATGTCCATTGACCAAATTTTACACAAGCCATTGGAAAACAAGATCTACAAATGTGCTTAGTTACTAGTATTATATAACATGGATCAAGCACCAAGAGTGTGCTGAGCTGGACAGGACAAACATAGGAAAGACGAGTCCCTGCCACCCCGGACACCCGCTCCTTCCAAGTTCCGCGCACAAACGTCGCCTTACCTGTCACACCCTTTATCATAAGGCATAGATAAGGAAGTCTGTTGCCTTTCTCATTGTCACTTCATAAATATCTTATACCCTTTTCTGCAACAATTAATAACATCTTGGCCTTTAAATACAAATCTCTGTAGTACAATACACAGAATATACTGATTTGGTAGTCACATGATCGACCACAATAATCTCACAGGTTGGTTATAATATGAACCATATTAAATTTTCAACAGTTACAATTTTGATACCACTCAGAATCATTCACTGTTGGCAGAGCCTTTTTTTTTGGTTAAAAAATAAAATGAGGTGCCGTGGATGTTTTGTTAATAAACTGTAAAAAAAACAGCACTACCTCGGTTCTGATACAGGAATCGGAACTAACGGCACATTTAGAACAGTGAGGCTGAGCACATCCAATAAACTAGCTTTGTGGTGACCCGTTCCATAGCCCCATGCCCTGAAACACTAGCAGTGTATGATTTGCAGTTTCAAGAAGGGGCTACTGGTGTAAAATACCTGAAAACCGTGAGCCGGGAAATTTTTTTGCTTTTGTGCAGGGCTGGGTGCAAAGCAGATTCAGACTAGAAAAGAGGGTGCATTGACTCTGAATATATTCATTGGCTGAGGGTATCTGATTTCAAAGTAACCCCTTAAATAACAACATCTGAATGTTAATTTTTTTTAAAACACAAGGGAAATGAGGTGAATTTTGATAGTGTAGTGATTTTAGGCTCAGGCACAAGAAATTATGCTTTACGTGGAAATGTCTGAGAGTGTGGTGAAAGGTGACCCCCGTGCAGAGGACAGGCCCATCCCTATTTCACCACAGGGAGTTCACAAAAGTTGGACATGAAAGGTGAATTGGGAGGAAAAGGGAGCTGTTTCCTTCCCAGCTGGGCACTGTCTGGACCCGTTCTGCAGATAGAGGGATGCAGGAGCTAGAGTGAATCTGGGGCCCAGGGAACAAAGGCTGTAATGAGCTTGGGGGTCACTGGACATATAGAACCCAGCTGTGAACTTCACCTTCTCCAGATCCCAAGAACCTGAGCATCCACGAGCTTCCTACCACGGCAGACATCCATAACTGGACACCAGAATCAGAGCCATCAGGCTGAGGAAACCCCTTCGAGGAAACCATCTGGCCTTTGCTCTCTCACTATCTGGTTTCCAGGGGTGTTACCCAGTCTGGACCTTTCCGTCATGTGGCAATGACACTGAGTTCATTTAAAAGCTCTACTGGACTTAGAGCAACACTACGTTTCTCCGATTACCTCCCCAGATACAAAAAGCGTAAAAGAAAATCCTACAGGGTCCCTTCTCTTCCATGCATGGGGCAGGGCTCCTGGTCACACCCTCCCTCGGTAGCTAGGCCCGTGGCCAGACAGGCCCATCAGGAATTGCCACCCAAGGGCAGCGCAACAGTGGTTTGGCCCATCCCCCATGATCCTCCCTGCCAGGCGAAGAGTCCAGTCAGGACAGCAGCTCCCAACCCCCGAGGCTGTTAACCTACTTTCCCCTTTAGGGTGAAAAAAAGAACCAGCCTTATTTCATATGCCCACCCAAACCCAAGCACCAAAAGACTAAAATTCTGACGACAGTAACAGATAAATATTTTGTTTTCAATGATACATCCTCAGTTTTCCATATACTAAGGCTTCACTTTCAGTCACCTAGTTGAAAATCTGCACATAAGCATGAGACCAAAATGGACAACACCAAGACCTGTATAAATAAAGGCTCCCTACAGGTGAAAGCATCTGTCCCTTCTTGGTTAACAGCTTGAAATGTTCTGACTGCGCCTTACGGTGGAGGACAGAGTTAGACGCAGCAGCTGAGCATTATTTGGAAGTTTTCTGGGATGGATGCTGGGGCTCCTATTGCTTTAAAAATCTGAGATGCTTTCCCAATGTCTCTTTCAGGAGTTTATTACATCATCCAGATTATTCTCACTACCAGCATGTTCTCAGAAGAATTAGAGAGCTAGTAGTGTCTGTCAATGATTTTCTTTCCCCGATAGCACGACATTAGAGTCAAATATTGAAAAGGACTCTTTCTGTCCAGTTATGTCAAAGCACCATCCAACAGGCGGAAATGGAGATCAAATTCCAAAGAAATCACAGCGGCTCCCTGTGCACTGTAGAAAGCTTTCTCTCAAGTTATCTAACAGAGAAGACAACAGACCAAAATTAGGTATTTAGATAGACGTATATAGATAGATACATAAATGATTAAATAGCTATTGTCTTTTGGACAGCCGAGCAGTATTCAGAACTCTGGACTAGGTGCTGGGGTAGCTGAGAACAGCTCAGTGCCTCTATCATATTAGAGACAAGCTTTCGAAATCTCTGTGAAAGCCACTGGAAATGGCCACACTTGGTGTCACATAGAGACTGTGGTTTACAGTTAGAATGTCAAAGTCTAGCCATTCTCTCTACTCTTCAAGGCACAAGGACAAGTTCCAAACTCTTCAACTCGTGAGCAAGAGGCAGGGCATCGGACCCCACCAGGAGACCGAAAATCAGGGAGTGGAGCCACACACCGAAGCAGGAACGGGGCCCTTCAGGTGGCCACGGCTTGCACTCGCTGACCTCCCTCTGTTCCCGAGGAGCCCTCCCGGGCTGGGGGGCAGGGACAGGAAGGCCTCCGGGCCTGAATTCCTCCCGTCAGGCAGAGAAGAGCCCGCTCCAGGCCACGCCCGATCGGGCAGTTCAGCTCCTCCCCGCCACGGCCACAAAGAAGAGCCCAGAATGTCCTCATGGAGACTGCAGTGGAGGTCGCAGTGACGCCAGAAGGGCGAGAGGGAGAGTCCACAGCCCTTGGGACGAGTCAGCAGAAAACAGGGTGGAAACGCTGTGACTTTGCCTGCAATACGCACTCGAGGAAGGACAGGACGCGCCTTTTCTCACCGGCTGCCTCGCTTAGCTTCCCTCGGGGCAGGCGTCTGATATCTTCTGGTGACGGTTCCCCACCAGGGCGCTTCCTCAGGATGGACAGAGTCTGACTCCTGTGCCCTTTTTTTGGCTTGTAATTCCGTTTGAATCCCTGGTGGTTCAGGACAGTCCCTTGGTAGGAAGTCCTATTGCAGGTCTGAAAATGCATCCAGGACCATTAAGTCGAAGCTCACAGCAGGGAGGTTTCTGTCTAGACTGCGTGCCTCCCGAAGACCATCGTCAGCATTGGCAGAAAAGCCTCCATGACTTCATCTCTGGGCCGACAAACCACTGCGACGCGGCCGCCCGAGGTTTTAGACGGCAGAGGAGCACACGGTGGTCCCAGCTGTGCCCGTGGCTGCGTCCCGGCTCAGGACTTCATCGTGCAGATGGGCACCACAATGACCAGGATGACGGTGCACGCGGCCGCCGCGATGAGAGCCGCCATCTTGCAGGCCTTGGCTCTTCGGAACTCGGCTTCTTTGCGTTTCAGCAGCGAGTCGTAGCCCGGAGTGTAAATGTCTTCCATCCAGTACTCTAAGTTGTTCGGATTTAAAGACTCTTGCGTCTGAAAGTGAAGAGGGAGACGTTAGGAAGATGGTGAATACTTGGAACCAGGTAAAAGACATCCTGACAGTCGTGCCTCCTGAAGCACCTACGGGTGGTCTGCAGAAGGCAGCTGACGGTGGCTGTGTGCCCAGCGCTGACGGCCCCCCCACAGGCATACCTGCCCCCCCTTACTACGTGCGACTTCCTTCCGCAGTTACGCACATGTTATGGGCTGGGAGTCAGCCTGTGAAATACAGTATTTTTAATTAGGTTTTTCAATAGCCACAAGCTCTAATGACACCAAGGTCTCAAGCGACCCGGGCGAACGTATTCAATTCCAATCAGGTCTCCCGAGCAGGGGAGAGGGAAACAGGGCCCGCACCTTCCCCGGTGCCCTCAGGCGGGCACCCCGGGACCCCAAGAAGACTGTCTACACGGTGCCCGCACACACCCTCTCTAGTCTGCTGAGCTGTTTCTACATTTTCTGTGTAACTGGCTACACTGTCCTTCCCATGTTTAAGTTAATGTCACCTAAAGCTCTCTAATTCGAAGATCTGCTTTTATGTTTTATAATTCTGTCTTTATGTTTATAACCATTGGCACGTTAAAAGTGCACATTTGTCTGTAGCGGCCACATCTCCCAGCCTCCTTCCCCAGAACTGTGAAAAAGATGTTTCTCCCTCAGTGACTCAGCCCCTCAGCCTGACCCTTTCTCTCCAGGTCGTCCTGAGACTGGTGAGGTGCGTGAGCGTCCCACTGCTCGAGCCGTTTGCACCTGAGAGTCCTCTCTGTCTCACCTGCTGCGAGGGGCATCCTGACGCCCAGGAGCAGAGCTCAGTGTGACACCATGTGACACTACGTGACACCGTTGCAGAGCTGCACAGGGACCCACATGCATGAGGAGCAATTCATTGCCAAAAGGACGGTGACAGGCGAGGAAATGGCCTGAAGGGACAAGTGACCTGCAGGACCCACAGGGGACAGGCCATGCAGGAGGTAAGAGGGGCGAGGAGTGGCTGCCCCCAAACCTCATGCTTGGGGCCTGGCCAGAGCTGCCCCCGCCTGTAACTGCTGACATTGCAGTCTTTTGGGGCCGTGAATCTCCCCTGCACCATCATCCAGAGGAGGGGAGGGTGGTGAGGCGGCAGATGGCGCGTCGTGGGCGGTCCAGGGTGGATCTCGATGCGTTCGACCTGGGGACTCAGTGCCTTGTGTTCGACTCCTGCCCCGCAGGCCACCGTGCCTGGTCCCGAGGCTGCTGTCAGCGGCACCCTGCACACCGCGTGTGCTCGGCGTCATCTCACGGGTCCCCCGGCGCCTTCTCGGCCCCCACTCACTGCCAGGCGGTTTAGATACACTCCTTTCAGTCCCCACATCGACTCTGCCACTTACGTCTCATTACGCACAGTTAGCGGGCGAGGCAGGGGAGTGAGTGTCCAGGTGCCACGGCGAGGTTGGCCTGGAGCTTTCTCCGCACCATGACACCCCTCCCGCGGCCCCATCGGGACTGTGGCCTCACTGCCCGCAAAGCGGAGCCCACCGGCGGGGACAGGTGCTTCCTGAGCTCCTGCGGTGACGTGGAGACGTAGCCAGACGTGGTGGGAATGGAACCAGGAGGAGCTGCCACCAGAGTGAAAGTGGGGCCACAGCCCAGCCCTGCCTGTGGGCGGACAGACAACAGGCCCCCCAGGCACGCCTGCCTCGCAGGGCTCGGGGCGGCCCTTACCCGGGCCGCGCCGTGTGGAAGCATAGTCCACAGTGTGCTTATCCCACGTGCTCCGTGCGGAAGGAGAAATCAGCGCGTGTTTCATGGAACAGTTTGGCTCAGGTCTTGTGGGCAGATGTGAGAACCTGCGCTTGGCACGGAGTCTCAACCAAATCGGAGGGTGGGGCTGAGCCAGTCGGTGAGGCCTCCCCACTGAGACAAGTTTGCAAACAGGTAACAAACAGCAACCCCCTCGTTAAACTCGGGGCCAGGGAGCGCAGTGCCCAGGGCGCAGGGCGGCACCCGTGGGGCGTGGCAGCCCCAGCCCGGGCCCCCAGGAGCTCACCTGCAGGTCCAGGGCCGCCAGCTTGCCCTTGTCGCCCCCGCTCCGGGCGTACCCCTCGGCGGCCCAGGAGGGCTGGCCCCGCTCCACCTGGGCCAGCTCGGTCAGCCGCATGTCCGTGTACAGCGGGTTGCTCTTCAGGGCCTTGAGGGAGGCGGGGCGGGGCTGCGGGCTGAAGACCTGCTCCACCAGGAGGCCGTCTCTGGGCTGCTTGGGCCGGCGGTGTTGGGGGGGGAAGTCGCACTGCCGGTCCGCCTGCGGAGGGACGGAAATGACAGGGATCCCGGGCAGCCGGGCGGCCGCCCGCTTTGTGTCTCCCAGCCCCGTGGACGTACATCCAGGTGCAAAATGCAGTTACGCAAAGACACACTTAGAACAGCCCTACTAGGAGCGAAGGTTTCTGTGCCTGGAAGGGTGGCTTTATCCAATCCTCCCACCACCACTGCTCTTGCCCCCCCCCAGGCAATACAGGTAAGGAAGGAGAGCCCAGAGAGGCCCGTGACTTGCCCCAGGGAGCAAAGCTGCCCCGGGGCGGGGATGGCTTTAAGTCTCATCGCCTGGCTTCCTGTGTGGCCATCACTGCCCCCCTTCCTTTTACCAGTTCGTTTCTGGTACCGAGGAGTAAGAGACGTGGGCCTTTCTCCAGGAGCTTGCTGGCACCACCCTGCTCCTCCCGACGGAAGAACCGAGCCAGAAAGCACAC